AAAAACACGTCCAAATTATAGACTTTCACTCTATGATGGTTACATTTAGCAGTTAATCCGTGAATCACATGCGTGCCGAACCGTGGGGCCTGATCCAACTGCGATCCGTTGCACCCCTACAAGGTACACACACACACACACGACAACTGACTGAGTGTGTGTGTCTGATTTAATAACGGTTGTTTGTCGTGTTTAGGGGCGCAGATTAAAGGAGCAGCAGGATATGGCCGCAGCTGTGATACAGCGCTGTTACCGCAAATACAAACAGGTATAAAACACACACACACACACACACACACACACGTTTACTTAGCTATCTACATGGAGACATTGCATAGACTTCTATTATTTTTATTGGCAGTTTTACAGTCAAACCAAAATGTATTCAGACACCTTGCTATCCTAACTTAAATAAATTAACTATAGTGTCCTGGACCCACTAGTAAAAAGATATCAAAAATTATTATATGGTGTCTGCTGTCTGAATAACTTTTGGTTTGACTGTAAATACTGTAAACCTAACAGAAAACTCTCTGCATTTTTACAATTTAAGGCGAGACACACGATGCCAAAACATTGTTTTCCCCCAATCTTTTCAATTTTGAGATTGTGTGGAAAGAAAACATTCAAAATACACATTTAAGTGTTTATTTTATGACGCTTTATCTATTTGCGTCTGTAGATTTCAATTATAATACAGGTGAAACTCGAAAAATGAGAATATCGTGCAAAAGTTCATTTATTTCAGTAATTCAACTTAAAAGGTGAAACTCATATATTATATAGACTCATTACATGCAAAGTGAGATATTTCAAGCGTTTACTTGTTATAATTGTGATGATTATGGATTACAGATTATTCACAATATTCTAATTTTGACTTTGGGGTTTTCATATCTGTAAGCCATAATCATCAAAATTATAACAAATAAAGGCTTGAAATATCTCACTTTGCATGTAATGAGTCTATATAATATATTAGTTTCACCTTTTAAGTTGAATCACTGAAATAAATGAACTTTTGCACGATATTCTAATTTTTCGAGTTTCAGCTGTACATATCTTTAAAGGCCGTATTGATATAAAAAAAAAAGTTCCTCCACTTCAGCAGCACTTACACACACCAAACTTTACAGTGTTATTCCTGTCTATATTCTGAAGGTTTTTACTGAGGGATTTGTTCATATATCATTCACATTGATTTATATAATATTTTATTTCTAAATATATGCTGAAAATAATTTTTTCAGTCTGATGACAGTATTTTCTGATTTATGAAGAGATAAAAAATGTTCCCCTCAGTAAAAACCTTTAACTCTAATATGTCAATAAAATCAACCAAGTACTTTGATCCTGGCTTTAATCAATGTTCAGATTTATGTATGCACATTAGCGCATATTTAAATAGACAATGCATCATTTGCATATTTAAACGTACCATTTCAGAAAACTTGTAATAGAAAAGTTGTTTGCAATTCTTAATGTAATCAATCAACTGTGCAAGTATGCTGATATATGAGTTACATGTTTCGCCTTGCCATAAAAACTTATACCGTTTTTTTATGGAAGCTCGTTTCCGCCACAGAATAAGACATAAAACTTTTTATCTTAAAATTCAGACTTTTTTCTTATAATTCTTGAGTTTGCATCTTGCACTTCTGACTTTTTATCATCCAATTCTGACTTTTTTCTTGCAAATTGTGAAATTTACCTTGCAATTCTGAGAAAAAACTATGAATTGTGAGATATAAAGTCACAATTACATTTTTATATTTTTTTATATGGTGGAAACAAGCTTCCATAGTTTTTACAGACACACTTTATCCAGAAACACTTGATGATGTTAAGAAACAAACTGTGACTGAGCATTCATCGTCTGAGCGTGTGTGTGTGTGTGTGTGTGTGTGTGTGTGTGTCTTCGCTAACACACTAATATTGCTGTCGTGTCTCTGATCTCTCTCCTGTTTCTCCTTATATTTCATGCTAGCTAACATGGATAGCACTGAAGGTAACACGAACTAAACTGCCTCACTGTTGAATTTTCACACTCTTCTGCCGTCCAGTATGTTCATGTGTGTATTTGTGTGTATTGTACAAAACTAACTTTAGCTGGACAATAACTTTATTCTAGAGCTGCTGTAAAGCCCAACAATCTCCGTTACTGTAATCTCCTATTATCACTGTAAAGCTGCTTTGAAACAGTCTATATTGTTAAAGCGCTGTATAAATGAAGGTGACTTGACTATTGCGTCGTCCTCCTGCTCTACAAAAAATGCTTTTCTTACTTAGTATTTTTGTCTTGTTTCCAGTCAAAATATATAAAAAAATTCTTAAATCAAGATCCAATTAGTCGATGAGTAAAATGACAAGATATTAAGTCTTGTTTTCTGGGAAATAAATAAAAATTAAGTGAGTTTTTGCTTAAAACAAGCAAAATTTTCTTCCAATGGCGTGAGAAAAATAATCTTGTTTCTGTTTGAATTAAGGTTGAATTATTGGCAGATAATTTTGCTTTTTTTAAGCATCAACTCGCTTAATTTTGATTAATTCCCCCGGAAAACAGGACATAATATCTTATGTCATTTAATCATCTAGTAAATGCATCTTGATTTAAGAATTTTTAGATATTTGGACTGGAAACAAGACAAAAATACTGAGTAAGAAAAGGATTTTTTGCAGTTTGTGTGTGTAACGTGTCTTTGTCTTCCTCCAGTACGCCTTATATAAGAAGATGACGCAGGCAGCCATACTGATTCAGAGTAAGTTTCGCAGTTATTACGAGCAGAAGAAGTTCCAGCAGTCTCGGCGGGCCGCCGTCCTCATCCAGCAATACTATCGCAGTTATAAAGAGTACGAGCGCGTCAAGCAGGGGCCGCGGGGGCCCGGGAGCCTCAACAGCAAGATCAAGTGAGACACTGCAGATCACGACACGAGGGGTGTAACGGTCCCGCGTTTTCCTATGCGTTTTTTTTTCCGTATTCGTCATTCGCTGGCTCTGAATTGTCAAAACACCATTCAAAATGCGTTACGGATGCGAAAAACGCAGTGTGCAAACATGATTGACCTAACGTGAAGTCGTATTTATTTTTTAACGTATGAAAATTTCGGACTCAGTGTGCGATGACCTTAACGGTGCACAAAATTCACGGTTCGGTTCGATCCGACACAGTAGTGTCACGGTTCGGTACGTTTTCAAAAAGAAAGAAATGGCAGAGAAATTTCCTTGATTTCAAATTTTTTTTTTTTTTTTTTTTTTTTAATAAGTATGAGTTTAAGTTTTAAAAGTGATGTAGAATAATGTTTTGGTCATCACATTAAAAATAACATTTAAATATGATAATATTTGAGTTTTGAAGTGCTGGGAAAAGATGTGTGACGTACTTGAAAGGATTTGACTATTCCTGCCACACTTCCATGGTTACAGTGAGTGTTACTACAGTAAAGCCAGGGTGAATGTTGCTGGTCTGTGAACTTAAAGCGTATAACTAGTTCATTCACGGCACGATGTTTCTCCTGGTTTCCACTCCAGCGCGGTTTGATCTAATAGAGATCTACGGTTAATAACGGAGACATTTGAATGCTTCTCACTAGATGTTATTCCTTCTGTGGCAAATTCAAATGCTCTCTTTACAGTGTCTGTGTATAAACAGTGTGGCTTGATCACGATCGTTGGGTTTGTACCGAACCGAAAGCCTCGTACCGAACGGTTCAATAGGAATACGTGTCGTTACACCCCTACACGAACACCACACGACTCATGAGTGATTCTGTGGCGCTCACACTCTCGTTCTGTGTGTCAGAGGCTCGTTCCTGACCAAGAAACAGGACCAGGCCGCGCGGAAGATCATGCGTTTCCTCAGACGCTGCAGACACAGGTACACGTCTCTGTCATTCCTCAAGCCAGTCGTTCGGCCTCCAAATGATTTAAAATAAGACTAAACATGCAATAAAATGAGCTCAAACGCATAGAAATGAAGATGTCTTTTGTCTAAATTCACTCTCTCAACCTCTGTTTTTATTTAATTTTATTTATATTGTAAAATTGTACATTAAAAATATCCTTAATCGTTCATTCTTATCCAGATAATCATGAATAACTTCATGGAAATTAATAAAATCACCATAGGCATTTATATAATAAATCTACATTTTACTAGTTACAATAGGTCAAGCTCTAAAATACTGTATTGATATTATATCAATTGTGATTTAAATATAGTTTAAAAAGCCGTATCCTTAATTCTTATCCAGTAAATCATGAACAACTGGAAAAGTCTTGAAAATGAATAAAAATCTGAAACGGCATGGGTATTTTTATAATAAATACAATTTTTACTAGTTAGGTCAAGCTCTAAAATATTTTATTTAAATTATATAAATTGTGCATTAAAAACCAATCCTTAATTCTAATGTAGTAAATCTGGAAAACTCATGGAAATTTATAACATCATAAAACGTTTTTTTTTTTTAAATGAGTCATATGAAAAGTTATGAAAAGCTCTCAAATATTTTATGTATATTATGAAATTCTGCATTAAAACGATTTTTTTTTTTTAAATCCTTAATTCTTATCTGGTAAATCATGAAAAATTGGAAAAGTCCACAATGAACATTAATAAAATTGTAAAATTCCATGGTCATTTATACAATGAATATACATTTTACTAGTTAGGTCAATCTCTCAAATATTTTATTTATATTTCATTAAGTCCCATCAAAACGATTGATCGTGATTAATTGCATATAACATAAATGTTTGTAAATATATATGAGTGCGTGTGTGTATACATTAAATACAGTATATATATATATATATATATATAGGCCTATATATATATATATATATATATATACAAACTTTTTATGTTAGATGGGAACATCCCGATTAATCGATTTGACAGGACTAATTATATCCTTTTTTTACTGCTAAACAAAGAAAAAATATATATTTCTGTGGTGAAAACATCACAGGGCAAATATTCAGGGATTCAGACCTTGAATAAATTAAATTTAACATCTGATCTGAACAACATTTTTAGTGTAAATAATTCAGAACACGTCCAGATTTCTCAGTTTATTTTCTCTGCTATTTAGATCATGAGAATGAAGTTGTTTAATGAAATTGTGTGTTTGCAGGATTAAAGAGCTGAAACAGAGTAAAGAGCTGGAGCACAGAGGACTGACCACCTGACCACACACACACACACACTCTTTCAGTCGTGTTTACAGTCGTTTGCTCAGATACACTCCTGCCGTCACTCGCCTCACACACTCTTGTCAAAACTACTACAGGATTTGATCGATTCAGAGAGGAAAGATGGAAAGTTTGAGCTGCATTATTAGCAGTGGAATATGGAAGCTTGTTTTCATTACAGAATAAAAAAGTAATCGCAACTTTTTTCTTGCAATTGCGAGTTTAATTCTCAGAATTGAAAAATATAAACTCGGAATTAGACGAGAAAAATAAAATTGCGACATACCAACTCAAAATTCCGAGTTATAAATTCTGAATTTTGATATATATATAAATAACTCACAGTTCTGAGGGAGAGAGGGGAGGGGGAGGGGATTATTATCGTTATTTATGATTATATAAAGTTGCAAAAAATGTATTCCAAGGGAGAAACAAGCTTCCATAGTAAAAGGACAGACAGGTTTTCTTCGGTTGCTTATTTCCAGTCGTTGCTGCAACACTAAAGTTCACGTTCAGCTTTACTGAATCTTTGGAATGTTTGTATGTATTAATGGATCTCTATATAAATGTGAACAGTATAATACGCTCATATATATATGCTCATAAACACAGAGTTGATTGTGTTGGATATGAACTTATTTATTAATATCTTGGAGATGTATTTTATAAACATTTTGTTGCGCCTCAGAACAGAGAACCACAGAAAAATAACAACGCTGAGTTCATGGCGATATCCAAAGTCTTAAATCGTAGTTGTCATGGTAACACAGGGCGGAAACGTAACGTGGCCTAGTGACGATCACGCGAATGTTCACGACGCGAGAAATACGATCACTGAAGGTGCCTGATTCTAGTCCAACGGTTTGTGTTAAACACGTTTATGTTCATTAAATATAATATTAGTACAGAAAATAAAAGAAATTTCAGCTGTCACGAAAAAAAAATGTTCAAAACTCAATTTGTAAAACCAAGTAAAAATTGTTGTAAATAACGAAACCAGTGATAAAATCACTTACTCCGTTGATAATCTGGCAACATTCACAAGATTCAACAGCTATTATGGGATGTTCCAGAAACTATGGAAGCTTGTAAAAAAAAAAGAAAAAAAGTAATTGCGACTTTTTACCTCACAATTCTGAGGAAGAAAATTGCTAGTTATAAAGTCTGAATTTCGAGATAAAAACTGTCAATTACCTTTTTATTTTTTATTCCGTTGTGGAAACATCTTCCATAAGAACGTGCTTACTGTACGTGCCGTTTGAGGAATCCGTCTCGATTATTATCTGAGGTAACAGCTTTTATTGACTGTCGTAGGACTTTTATTTTGACGCATTTTTTTCAAACGCCATTTTCATTTCTGAGAACTCCCGGTTCTGATTGGACGCGTGATCTCAGATCCGGATTGTGTGCGTGAAACACGTTACAAACGCACTCTAGGCATCGTCTGACAGGATTAAAATGTCACGGTTCTGTTTTCTGGATATTTTTGAATGTGCCTTGAGGTGTTTTTAACTCATTAACTCCGACAGACCTGCGTCATTGAAGAACTGGTTGGTTCTCCGTCTTGATTCAGACTTTTATGCATTATTCTGTAAATATTGTACAATATAAATAACTGGTGAAAATATATTTAAGAATGAATATATTTGCTTCTGCCTGATAAAATGTTTAATTTATTATCTGTACTGATTGCTGATATGCACGGTTATATTTACGCTATGAGATTTTTTCAGCATGTTTTTTGCTTGCTGGTGTTTATGTTTGCATGAGTTCCTGTTTTTGTTTCATATTTCTACTCACAGGCCTTTAGTACTGCTGATGATGTTTATTTATGAATATAGATTTATGGACATGTTTGAATTGATTTCTACTGTAAATTCATTCTGACGTTTATTTGTTCAGACTGTTTTACTGTTTCGTAACATTTCATTAAATTCTTCAAATTCAGGTTTCATTTGTGTGTTTTTCCAGTTCACACTCGGACACAAGCAGATTCACAGTTGTTTTCAGAATATTTTATTTCTTGACAGATTAAGTTACACACAGGGCCTAAAATTAACGTAAAAAACAGCGTTGGCCAGTAGATGAAACGGTCACCTGGTAACATTTTTAAATGAATTCTAACAATGCATTGAACATGAACAAATGTGAACGAAACATTATGAAAATTGAAGCCTTGACAATTTAAATACTCACGCTTGAACAGGCAAATTCACACAAAATTATGCTAAAACAAATGCCAGTCTCTGCGAGTGTCTTAGTAAACATAGTTGGTTATGGCTTAAGTGACTGTAAACACTAAAGAAAGACAAAATGTGTATCAGTATATTGGATCAGTGCATTATGTCTTAAAGTGACAGAAGCCTAATATTCCTGCTGCTGTCTGTGTTTTTAATGTTATTCGTTTTATATTTATGCAGTGAAGACTATCCTATTCAGTGTTATTTTCCATTTGATTGCTTAATCAGAATTGATTTTTTTTTTTTACTGACTGTTTACTTGTCTGTAATAATGTTTTACATTTATATAAGTTAGGCGAGTAGTTTTAGCTGTGGTATTGACATTTTCACTGGTATCTAAAATTTAATAAAAAAAAAATGTATCAACCATATTCACAGGCACAACCATATTTTTTTTGGACCCCCGGACCGACACCTGCACACGTCACAGATCCCAGATCCACTCACACGCGCGCGTCTGGAGACCCTGGAGCTAAAACCCGCCAAATACTCCGTATATTAACCCTTTTAGTGCTTTCTATTAATCGAAGTCCAGTTATGACAGCCACAAGTCATAATTATGATATAAAAAGTCAACATTTTATATGTATTTTTTTTCTTATGTGGCAGAAGTATTACATTCCACAGTCTATTTGTTGAGCACTTCAATAGTAATAATAATAATAATAAGTACATAAAATGAATAAACTTATTTTCTGTGTGCCTGTTAAAGTGATGATCATAAGAGCAAACATCATAATTCATGTAAATAAAATTAAGAAACATTTATTTTGTGTGCCTGATAAAATGGTGCCCATAAAAGAGCAAAATAGCTGTGATGAATTAAGCATTAAAAACATCACTTTAGTCTATAGTCAATCAATGGTGCCTTAGCAAACATTAATTAATAATGACAGACTGACAACATTCGTGAAACAAATCATCGAAGAACTGATGAAACGGTGAAAAAAAGTAATTCACCTCGAGAGTAATGTTCAGATTTTGTTCTTCTGCTTTCTAAAAGTTTGATACTTTTGCCTGTAAACCATCGTGGGGAAATCAAAAGTAATGAAATAAAAATTGAATTGCGTGACTTTCTCGATCTGTTAGAAATGTTAGACGTGGAAGTTCACTCATAGACGAGCATGTCGTTCCAATCCTGACCTTCTATCTTCAGTTGAACACAAATTAAGATATTTTGAGAAATGTATCAGAATATTTGCGTCCTGAAGAACAAATGAAGTCGAGCTCGGATGGAATGACATGAGGATTTAACAAGAAAAGTTTCTTTTCTTCTTTCCTTACCATCCTTTTAAAGCATCTTACAGGGAACAAAAACTACAGAAAAGCTTAGAAATCATAAAGTAGAAATAATTGACCTGATATTCAAATGTATATTTGCAAATCCATTTCATAAAAGCCGGGGATGTAAATTACAGATCATAACACACAGCTGGAAAAAACATGACCTTCATCCCTCATACACTATTGCTTTCATAAAACACACCACAGTGTCACAAACAACTGCCTTTTATTCAATATCCATGAAGTCAGCCCCATAAAGCACAATAAATACAATTTAAATTAAAACACATTAAATATAGAGTTGCTAAAAGGCTCTGTCCATTTCTAGATATTTTGTCGTTCAGCAGAGTGTGGCACATACACAAATGCAAAAAGTAAAAGTACACGAATGCAAAGGTAAGAAAGTAAACAAATGCAAAAAGTGAATGCAAACGAATGCAAAGGTATAAGAAAATAAACAAATGAAAAAAGTAAATGCAAACGAATGCAAAGGTATAAGAAAATAAACAAATGAAAAAAGTAAATGCAAACGAATGCAAAGGTATAAGAAAATAAACAAATGCAAACGAATGCAAAGGTATAAGAAAATAAACAAATGCAAACGAATGCAAAGGTAAGAAAATAAACAAATGTAAACGAATGCAAAGGTAAGAAAATAAACAAATGTAAACGAATGCAAAGGTAAGAAAATAAACGAATGCAAAGGTAAGAAAATAAACAAATGTAAACGAATGCAAAGGTAAGAAAATAAACAAATGCAAAAAGTAAAAGTAAACGAATGCAAAGGTAAGACAGTAAACAAATGCAAAAAGTAAATGTAAATGAATGCAAAGGTAAGAAAATAAACAAATGCAAAAAGTAAATGTAAATGAATGCAAAGGCAAGAAAATAAACAAATGCAAAAAGTAAATGTAAATGAATGCAAAGGTAAGAAAATAAACAAATGTAAACGAATGCAAAGGTAAGAAAATAAACAAATGCAAAAAGTAAAAGTAAACGAATGCAAAGGTAAGACAGTAAACAAATGCAAAAAGTAAATGTAAATGAATGCAAAGGTAAGACAGTAAACAAATGCAAAAAGTAAATGTAAATGAATGCAAAGGCAAGAAAATAAACAAATGTAAACGAATGCAAAGGCAAGAAAATAAACAAATGTAAACGAATGCAAAGGTAAGAAAATAAACAAATGCAAAAAGTAAATGTAAATGAATGCAAAGGCAAGAAAATAAACAAATGTAAACGAATGCAAAGGTAAGAAAATAAACGAATGCAAAGGTAAGAAAATAAACAAATGTAAACGAATGCAAAGGTAAGAAAATAAACAAATGCAAAAAGTAAATGTAAATGAATGCAAAGGCAAGAAAATAAACAAATGTAAACGAATGCAAAGGCAAGAAAATAAACAAATGTAAACGAATGCAAAGGTAAGAAAATAAACAAATGCAAAAAGTAAATGTAAATGAATGCAAAGGCAAGAAAATAAACAAATGTAAACGAATGCAAAGGTAAGAAAATAAACGAATGCAAAGGTAAGAAAATAAACGAATGCAAAGGTAAGAAAATAAACAAATGCAAAAAGTAAATGTAAATGAATGCAAAGGCAAGAAAATAAACAAATGTAAATGAATGCAAAGGTAAGAAAATAAACGAATGCAAAGGTAAGAAAATAAACAAATGTAAACGAATGCAAAGGTAAGAAAATAAACAAATGCAAAAAGTAAAAGTAAACGAATGCAAAGGCAAGAAAATAAACAAATGCAAAAAGTAAATGTAAATGAATGCAAAGGCAAGAAAATAAACAAATGTAAACGAATGCAAAGGTAAAACAGTAAACAAATGCAAAAAGTAAATGTAAATGAATGCAAAGGCAAGAAAATAAACAAATGCAAAAAGTAAATGTAAATGAATGCAAAGGCAAGAAAATAAACAAATGTAAACGAATGCAAAGGTAAGAAAATAAACAAATGCAAAAAGTAAATGTAAACAAATGCAAAAGTACAAGTGCTTGGCCAGTGTTTAGCAAACATTCGTCACAGTGCGCTCTTGTGTTCCTGTGCTGGTAATGACCCTCGTGTAGAGTTCGTTTGAAGCCTCACACACCGCGGTCAGAAGTGTGTGCTGGAGTGAGAGGCGGTGAGCGGGGAGGTGCGGGCCCTGTGGCGCAGCTCGTCCGTGGGGCCCTCCGTCAGCCGCAGCATGGCGAGGACATTAGCACGGTAGCGAGCGGACATGAGGTTATACAGCAGAGGATTCACAGCAGCACTGACATAAAACAGCACTAAAGACACCAGATTAAAGTACTGACTGATGTAATACAAGCTAACGCTGGAGTCCGACACCGAAAACAGCGTGCGACTCACGTGGAACGGCAGCCAACAGGAGATGAACACCAGCACGATCACCACTGCCAAGACACAACACAACACCACCTTCAAATGAGCTTCAGTTCTGCTAAAAATGACAAATCTCTTAATTTACTCAATGTAGTTACAAATCCAAATGCTGTTGTATTGACATGCACCGTTAGTTGTGAAGAATGAATAGCGGTTTCTATATACAACAGTTCAAATTAAGTGACCATTTCTGTCATGTAGGGCTGCACATAGGGTTGCCACCTTTGATTTGTGAAAAACCGGGACACTTTGAGGGGGAGGGGTCAACCAGGGGCGTTTCCAGCTTTGAAGGACATCAAAAAAGAGAACAATCCCGGGAAAACCAGGACGGGTGGCAACCCTACATATATCGAAATTATAGAAATATCGCAAATGTGTATGTCAAGATATGCATATCGCAACAGCTCGCAATAACTGCGGTCAACTGGGGAGAAAATCACTCACTGCTGTTTGCTGAATAACTTTTGTAGCTTTAATAAGAATCAGGATATTTTTAATTCATACAGTGAAAACTAAGCAGTGTTTTATTTGTACATTTGATTATTCAGTTTCTGTTGTTAAATAACTCTAATGTGGGATAACCTGAACCCCTAAACACACTGATGTTAAAATAACACGTCTTATGCGACTGTAAAACACTGCAGCAAAAAGAATGTGAAAGAGGTTATATAATTTTAAAGATATTTGAAAGATATTTTAAGTTGATTTACACACTTTAAGCATTATCGTATCGCATATCGCACTTTTCTTCATTATCTTGCAGCCCTACATGCTCCAAAAAGGACTAAAAAGTGTCACAATAAGTAATCCGATGGCTTTGTGTGAGAAACAAATGCAGGTTGGAGCTCATTCTCTGCACAATACAATTGAGATATGGCGCATTTTGATTGGTTGTGACAGTTTGATGTCACTGAAAATTCGTTGTGTGGAAAAGAAAAATGGGAAGATTTTCACCAAAAAAACCCAAAACTAAATGTTAAAATTATTAAAACTTTTACTTTCAGCTAGAGTTTCCAAAGCATCTTTTATTTTAGTTTAACTTAATGTACTAAAACTGAAATTAAAATTTATAAAAACTATTTTTTTAAACTACAATAAAAATTACAAAAACAACAAAATTACTAAAACTTTAAAATTAAAATACAAAAAAATTTAAACTAATTCAAAAGTGTCTCAATCATACTAAAATAACACTGAGAAAATACGGTAACACTTTACAATAAGATTCATTAATTAACATTATTTAACTATCTTATTTAACACCAACTAAGTATGAACAATATTTCCGTTAATATTAATTTCAACATTTACTAATCAATTATCATTAAATATCATTCAAATCAGAGGTTGTATTTGTTAACATTAGTTAATGCACTGTGAACAAACATGAACAGCTGGATATTTATTAACTAACATTAACAAAGATTAATAAATACTGTAACAAATGTATTGCTCTTTGTTAGTTCATGTTAGTTCATACATTAACTAATGTTAACTAATAAACCTTATTGTGAAGTGGGTTACACTTTATTTTAAGGTGTCATTGTTACAGTGTAATTATATATTTAAGTACTGAGTAATATTAACTACATGTATTTACTATAGGGTTAGGGTTTGGTTGAGGGTTAGTTGCATGTAATTATGCATAATTTACTGTTATTACTATGGTAAGTACATGTAACATATGTAACAAGGACACTGTAAATAAAGTGTTACCGAAAATACTTCTTTAAGGTGCAGTGTGTAAGTTTTAGCGGCGTCTAGTGGTGAGGTTGTGAATTGCAACCAACAGAAGTTACGGTGGCCGACAGGAAGTGATGTCGTCGTCTGAGACAGCAGAGAGTAGCCAGTTAAGCAATGAGGTTTCTTTACAAAGATGAATTAAGAAAGTTGACTTAATTATTCAGTAAAACGATGTTAATGTGAATATTATTGTTACTTGTTCATCATTGTGTCAGTCTTTTACTCGCTGACTTTAGCAGCTTCTTTGTGCGAAAAACAACAGTGACGAAATGCGTTTGTCCGCTCAGGGCCACCGTAGAAACATGTCAATGTAAGCGGACCCGCGGTGTGTGTAGAGAGAAACGCCTCATTCTAAGCTAATAACAACATCACGGTTCATTATGTAAGGTCTTTACATGCCACTGAACACATAGTTATGTATATGATATTGCATTTCTGTCAACAGATCCTCCTAAATATTACACACTGCACCTTTAAGGATCTAACGTCACATTTCACTATTCCCCATAATCCTCTGCGCTCACCCATCATCCGCAGGGTCTGGCGGTGTGTTTTGTCCCGGTGCAGGTGTGCGCGCAGGTGCAGGCGGCGGGCGATCAGGCCGTACAGGAGAGACAGGACCGCGAGCGGGCAAATGAAGTAGAGGTTGGAGAGCCACAGCATGGCTTTGAGGAGCCCTGAGGTCTGAGCGAACTGTGTGCATCGACACTCACTGGCTCCCCCCTCGAACCGCTCCACCCCGACCAGAGCCAGCGCGGGCCCGGCACTGAGCGACGCCACGGCCCACAGCCCCGCGATCAGCACGCGCACACGCCCCCGGGTGACCAGCATGCGCGCGCGGAGAGGGAAACACACGGCTAGGTATCGCTCCGCCCCCAGAGCCGTCATGTGGAGGATGGAGGAGAAGGTGCAACACTCGCCCACAAACACCGAGAGTTTGCACACGGCGTCGCCCAGGAGCCACGGACGAAACCGCCACAACTGCAGGAGTGAAGAACAACATGTGTTAGAGCGGAGGTTGATTAGGATTTCACTTTCTAACTTTAGTTAGTGTGTAATGTTGCTGTTTGAGCGTAAACAACATCTGCAAAGTTACGACGCTCAACGTTCAAAGCAAAGGGAGAGATTTTATTTGACAGAAATCGCTTTAAGGACTACAACAAACGGCTGGAAGGGACTAGACGGCATTCCTCCCGGGTTAGTGACATCACTAACCCTAGAATTTACATAAAAACAACAACACACCACTCTGAAACTTCCTGTGAAATCCGAGCTTGAAATCCGTTCGGCACGATACTCTTGTTCGTTAACATTGTCAGGGTCTGAATCGGGCTCGAAATGGTTGGAAATTGACAGCATTGTTAATATTTACATCTGAGCAGAGCTCACTGTTATGAAGGGGCGGGACATTTCCGCTGCCAATCACACAGCACGTATTTCGGAAGGAGGAGCTTCTTCGAAAACGACTCATTCAACCAGACTGGGGGGAGAGAGTAGCTGTAATATTGCCAAATATGTGAAAAATAATGCGTATTTTTGAACAAACAAGCATAAAAACATATTCTAGTGCACCCAAAAACACAATCAAGACTTTATTAAAGGGCATAATGGGACCGCTTTAATGCTGATTGCAAAACGTTTGGCTATTAATTAGTGCACACTCTCATCGCCTTACGTGAATGTGACAGACCAAATCTAAAGACACTGCAAGAGAAATTAGTGTAGTGGAGAAAAAAAATAGTAAATTGCGTGATTGCTTATATCGTCAAAAAATGTAATATATACCGCACAGCTCTTTATATAAAGTTACGTCCGACTTTATCTGTATAGTTTGTAACTATTATCACTCACATATATCAACTATTATCACTCACATATATCAACTATTATCACTCACATATATCAACTATTATCACTCACATATCCCCATACATAAGTAAAGTGACAGTGTTGGGGGTAACGCATTATAAGTAACGTGAGTTACGTAATCAGGTAACGCATTACTTTTAAATTTACAATAATTTTTGTTTGTTTTTATATAATTTCTGAAATGTTGGACTTCTGTGTCTATTCTTCTGCAATCCAAAACAGCAGCACAGCCAAAAGGTGGGAAAAGTAACGCAAAAGTAACGTAATACATATCTTTCCATAAAAAGTAACTACGGTAAGTAACACAGTTACTTTTTTTAGGAAGTAACGCAATATTGTAATGCATTACTTTAAAAAGTAACTTTCCCAGTAACACTGTTGAGCAATACTTTACTAGCCTATGTTGCAAATCTCAACTGTGTAATTGTTTATATCGTCGCTTAACGATATTATCCTACAGCTCTTTATTTAAGGTTGGATAAACACTACTGTGGAAAAGTCTTAGGCACGTTAGTATTTTCACCCCCAAAAATAAGCCAGTTATTTACAGTCAGCAGGAAATATCAGTTTACATTTCCAAACATTCATTTTGCCATTAATTGTAATAATCCAGTGAGATCTTTGTATTCACAAGGAGCCTGACAACAGCCGGTATGATCTGATCTCACCATCCCCGAGTCTTTCTGGGATTACATGAAGAAACTGCAAAAAAAGAAAAGAAAAAAGAGACAGACTAAATCCAGAACTGTGGCAACGTCTCTAAGACGCTTGAAGAAACCGTCCTGCAAAGCTACAGTACTGCGAAAAGTTTTAGGGACTTGTGTAAAAATGAGATACAGTCATGATGCTTGCACAAATAATGTCATAAATTGATAAATACATTTTATTTACCAATTAACTGAAACAAATCAATATTTGGTGTGACCACCCTTTGCGATTAAAACAGTGTTTGCGATTAAAACGGCGTTTGCGATTAAAACGGCGTTTGCGATTCAAACGGCGTTTGCGATTCAAACACTGCGATTAAAACGGCGTTTGCGATTAAAACAGCGTTTGCGATTAAAACAGCGTTTGCGATTAAAACAGCGTTTGCGATTAAACAGCGTTTACGATTAAAACAGCGTTTGCGATTAAAACAGCGTTTGCGTTTAAAACAGCGTTTGCGATTAAAACAGCGTTTGCGATTAAAACAGCGTTTGCGATTAAAACACTGCGATTAAAACAGCTTTTGCGATTAAAACAGCGTTTGCGATTAAAACAGCGTTTGCGATTAAACAGCGTTTGTGATTAAACAGCATTTGCGATTAAAACAGCGTTTGCGATTAAAACAGCGTTTGCGATTAAAACAGCGTTTGCGATTAAAACAGCGTTTGCGATTAAACAGCGTTTGCGATTAAAACAGCGTTTGCGATTAAAACAGCGTTTGCGATTAAAACAGCGTTTGCGATTAAAACACTGCGATTAAAACAGCGTTTGCGATTAAAACAGCGTTTGCGATTAAAACAGCGTTTGCGATTAAAACAGCGTTTGCGATTAAACAGCGTTTGTGATTAAACAGCATTTGCGATTAAAACAGCGTTTGCGATTAAAACAGCGTTTGCGATTAAAACAGCGTTTGCGATTAAAACAGCGTTTGCGATTAAAACAGCGTTTGCGATTAAACAGCGTTTGCGATTAAACAGCGTTTGCGATTAAACAGCGTTTGCGATTAAACAGCGTTTGCGATTAAACAGCGTTTGCGATTAAAACGGCGTTTGCGATTGAAACTGCGTTTGCGATTAAAACAGCCTTTGCGATTAAAACAGCCTTTGCGATTAAAACAGCGTTTGCGATTAAAACAGCGTTTGCGATTAAAACAGCGTTTGCGATTAAAACAGCGAAAACAGCGTTTGCGATTAAAACAGCGTTTGCGATTAAAACAGGCACACTTGCAGATAGTTTTTCAGGGAGCTTTGCAGGACTCACTACAGCAAAAGTATAAATAACTGGCTTAAAACCATTTTTTTGGGGGTGAAAATACTAACGTTCCTAAGACTTTTGCACAGTAAAAGTTAGATATATAAGTACCTCCAAGTTTATACACATACATACAGTACACTCACGTAATGCAACATATATTATATAGCAAATCTCAACTGCGTGATTGCTTGTATTTTCGCAATTATATGTAACTATATTATCGTCCAGCTCTAATATGCTAAATGCGACAAAAAGGCATAAAGATATTAAGATATTATAAACATTAACAACATGATTTTCAGTAAAGCTGCTTAGAAACTTTGTATTGTGAAAAGCGCTATACAAATAAAATTGTCTCGACTTGAATTTGACTTTAAGGCATCGGTTTAATTGATTCACCAATGTTAACTTCACACATTATCTTCGACAATACCAATACATTTGTGAGTCATTAAACACGCACAGGTCGAACGAGTCTTGCAGTGTGGACCTGGTTCATATCTGCACGAACACACAGAATGAAAGAGCAATTTGCATGAATGGCAGCTGGAGATTTCCTTCGCGACACAGTCGAGCAGAACTCGAGTCGCGACACCAGTGGGAGTGTTTGATAGCGATCCGTCGCATATAGAGGAACTGATACTAGAACTCAACCCTTACAGGAGTAGTTCACTTCAGAATTAACATGTCCTGATAATTTACTCTCCTCCACGTCATCCAAGATGTTCATGTCTTTCCTTCTTCAGTCGAAGAGAATTAAGGTTTTTGAGGAACACACTCCAGGATTTCTCCATATAGTGTCTTCAATGGGGTCCAGCGGGTCGAAGGTCCAGATGTGAGTTTCAGTGCAGCTTCAAAGTCTCGACACGATCCAGCCGAGGAACAAGAGTCTGATCTAGACAAACCAGCGGATATTTCATAAACAAAATAAACATTATATAGTTTTTAACCACTAATGCTCGTCTTGCACGAGCTGTGATGCGACACACATTATGTATTTAGGTTGAAAGGTCACGCGTGTTTCGGTTCAAAAATGTAGAATACAGCGAATTTTTATTATTTTTTTTTATTAAATGGCGTTTGACTTAGTCTTCACGTTCGCTTTGTAAACACTAGGTCGGTACTTCCGCCTACGTCCCGCTTGACCTTTCAACGTGATTATGTAATGTGTGGCGCATCTCAGAGACTGTGCAAGACGAGCATTAGTGGTTAAAAACTATACAATGTTTATTTTGTTTATGAAATGGGCGCTGGTTTGTCTAGATCAGACTCTTATTCCTCGGCTGGATCGTGTCGAGACTTTGAAGCTGCACTGAAACTCACATCTGGACCTTCGACCCGTTGGACCCCATTGAAGACACTATATGGAGAAATCCTGGAGTGTGTTCCTCAAAAACCTTAATTCTCTTCGACTGAAGAAGGAAAGACATGAACATCTTGGATGATGGGAGGAGAGTAAATGATCAGGACATGTTAATTCTGAGGTGAACGACTCCTTTAGCAGTCGCATGAAAGCGCACGTGAACACTGAGTACCTTATAGAGGTCGAGCGGCATCAGGAGCAGGATCAGGACGTCCGACAGGGCCATGCTGCTCAGGTACAGGTACGTGGTGCTCCGCATCTGTGGGCGTCGCCACACCACCAGGATCGTCAGGGCGTTTCCCAGAAGGCCGAGCAGCAGCAGCGGGACACACAGCGTCGTGACCACCACGAGCACGGTGTCGTCGAAGAGAGACAGGTCTTCCCAGTCGTCCCATTCCTCCCAGTCCGATCTGTTCCCACAGTTCACGCACCAGCCGGATCCAGAAGCGTCTTCCATGACCGGAGCTCACAGCGCACGCTTCATCATGACTGAGGTCAGGACCGAGATGATGCAGGACGTTATTGAATCTCTTCTGTCTCTCTGTGACGCTCACCACTGGAGATCAGTGCCACATCCACGACCAGAGGAAGAGATCGAATTCACTCAATCACACACACACACTCTCACACACACACACATTTTATTGGGACTCTCCATAGACGTAATGGTTTTTATACTGTACAAACTGTATATTCTCTCCTCTTACACTAACCCTACCCATCACACACACACACACACACACACACTAACCCATCCCCTAAATCTACCCATCTCACACACACACACACACACACACACACACACACACACACACACACACACACACACACACACACACACACACACACACACACACACACACACACTAACCCAACCCCTAAATCTACCCATCTCGCACACACACACAACCAACCCCTAAATCTACCCATAACACACACACACACACTAACCCAACCCCTAAATCTACCCATCTCTCTCACACACACACACACACTAACCTGACCCCTAAATCTACCCATCACACACACACACACACTAACCCATCCCCTAAATCTACCCATCTCACACACACACACACACACACACACACACTAACCTGACCCCTAAATCTACCCATCACACACACACACACACACACACATTAACCCATCCCCTAAATCTACCCATCTCACACACACACACACACACACTAACCCAACCCCTAAATCTACCCATCTCTCACACACACACACACACACTAACCCATCCCCTAAATCTACCCATCTCACACACACTAACCTGACCCCTAAATCTACCCATCACACACACACACACACACACTAACCCAAGCCCTAAATCTACCCATAACACACACACACACACACACACTAACCCGACCCCTAAATCTACCCATAACACACACACACACACACACACACACACACACACTAACCCAACCCCTAAATCTACCCATAACACACACACTAACCCAACCCCTAAATCTACCCATCACACACACACACACACACACACACACTAACCCAACCCCTAAATCTACCATCACACACACACTAACCCGACCCCTAAATCTACCCATCACACACACACACACACACACACTAACCCAACCCCTAAATCTACCATCACACACACACAAGATTCATAACTTTTATTTGCATGTAAAGTAAGTATGTTAGTGCTTATTAAGTAGAAATGATATTTGTATTTGTAGTACCTAATTTATGTATAATTAATAAAAAAAAGGGTTACATTATAACATTTATATCACTAAGGGTTAATGAGCTCAATTACAGCAAAAATAGTCCAGATGCTAAAAAAAACGCCTCACTTTCTTCATGCAAAATATTATTCCTGATCTCCTGTGATTTTGGTGGGAAGTATTATCACGAGATTCACTTTAAAGTCTATTTTAACTCAGCGTGTGATGTCTGTGCTCTTGCGGTGATTAACGTGTGAATTGATTGTTTTAACGACTAACCCCGGTGAACCTGAAGCTGGTGTGCGAAAGACTTCTTTGAGCAAGTGTGTGTGTGTGTGTGTGTACAATCACTCAATGCCAAACTCTCTTTAAACAATCCCATATTTATTGCTATTAAATTAATTCACCTTAGGCTAAAAAAATACATTAATACACAATAAAGCTTACAAAACAAACTCACACACTCATCGATCACACACACACACTTCATGATTCCCAGAGTTTGTGCAGATGATGTAGGTGAAAGGTTGTGTGGGCAGGTCTAGGAGCAGGAAGTGGGCGGGGCAAAGGGATGTTGTTGCCTGGCAACAGTGGAGTCTCTCTGAGCATCTTGTCAGCACTGAAGAACTGCAGTGCATCAGGGGCCTCTAGTGGCGGACACGGGAACTACACACACAACAAACATAAAAGACATTATTCAAATCTGTACAAACCATAATAAGCATGATTCAACATGGGCTGCGTATACTATATCATAACCACTTCATGAATACTGTGCAGAATACATTGCCTACTAACTCTACACAAAGCATCACTTCAATTGTATACAAACATACTAACCCAAAAACACTGGTTTAGTTTATTAAACGAGCTCAAAAGAATTCAGAGGATTACCAAGGTAACATTCTAAATGATTAAAAAGGAGAAAATTAAAAATGGAAGATATTAGAAAGACAAAAATTTAGAAAATAAAACAAAACAACTAGAATAAGATGAGGAGAACAATCAGCCATGTTTATACATTTAATTTTCTTATTCTTTTAGTTGTTCTGCTGGTGTGAAAAGAAAAAATTAAGCTTATGAACATTAAAATTATGTGGTTTATGGAATATGTTATTCTTGTATCAATCCATCTACACTGCAAAAAATGCTTTTCTTACTCAGTATTTTTGTCTTGTTTCCAGTCCAAATATCAAACATTTCTTAAATCAAGATGCATTTACTAGATGAGTAAAATAAGATATTATGTCCTGTTTTCTGGGGGAATTAATCAAAATTAAGTGAGTTGATGCTTAAAAACAAGCAAAATTATCCACCAATGGGGTGAGAAAAATAATCATAATTCAAACAGAAACAACATTATTTTTCTCACCGCTTGTTTTAAGCAAAAACTCACTTCATTTTGATTTATTTCTCCAGAAAAAAAGACATAATATCTTATTTTACTCATCTAGTAAATGCATCTTGATTTAAGAAATGTTATATATTTGGACTGGAAACAAGACAGAAATACTATCATAAGTAAGAAAAGCCTTATTTTTGCAGTGTATGAACGATCTTTTGATATCGTATACTCATATTCATATCAGACCGTTGCTTCGCCTCTGCTCAGTAAATGCACACGTCTAAAGTCTGCGGTCACTTCTCTAAAAAGTGAGACATGTTCCCCTGCAGAGTCTGGCATCCGGTGTAATATTAACCGTCGCATGAGTTTAGCATAAAGTCCAGACATGGTGAAAATACACACGTGGCTCGTTCTGCTTCTATAGTGATAAGACGACAGCGTTTAGCAGAATGTAACACCACAAGGGCCGATTCCTAGAACCTGATAAACATCCCCTTCCTGATCTGATCTGATATATCTATTGTCAAATATATATATCTAAATATTGTCAAAGCTCATGCATCTCGCTCATAAAGCACTTCTTCTGCTCCTTTACTCTCCTGACAATGTCATCTCACTCAGATATATTTGGTAAAGGACTTGTTTGTTGTTACTTTGTATTTAATGCTTCCTATTAAAAGCTGTATTTAAAATGTATAAAATGAAATGTATTTAACCCCTTAAGGTTATATTTAAAACAGTACTAAACCTAAACTAATATTGACAAACTAGATATCATTTGAAAGCGCACAATCTGTAGTTTTCATATTTGGTCATTGATTTTCAAAATAAATTACAGATTAAGGAGCCGTAATCTATCAATTTGCAACAAGAATATTTTCATACTCCGAAGGCGTGTTCAGACCTTTATTTTGAAATAGTGATGAACATGAAAATCATGAAAGAAAGGTAGAAACCTCAGTTTGTTTTCATGCCAATAGTTCAAAAGATAATATCCATTTAATTATTTTAGAAAAAAAGGTCTGAAAATGTTTTAAATATAAAGAAAAAAAATATAGAATCACCATTTGTGATGTGGCAGCGAGCTATAACGCACATACGTGTTATTTTTATGTTTATTAGAGGTTGAATTCATCTCAAAATATGCCAAACTTCTCATACTACTTCTGAATAGGATGCCTACTTCATAAATTGTGGAAATAATGGTTCAGATCACTCAAACACATTTGGAAATGGAGGCGCCCTTATATGGGCAGTAATGGAGTCTGGTTGTGCCCTAGTGGAAGCGTTCGGTACTGCGCCCAAACACACTCTCACTGAAAGCTCATTTTTTGAGATATTAACCTAAAATTTGAAACACAACTTGTTCAGAGTTTTGGCTTTGATTTTCTTGCAGTTTTAGAGTCCACCAGGTTTTGAAAAAATATATTTTATATAAAATATGAATGATTAAATTTTTACATTTTACATTTTCATAAACTCAAACTTCTATAACTTTTTTTCTGTTTCACTTTCTTAATTTATTTAACTTCTACAAAAATCTGCCAAATGTCTTCTTTAAAACAAGGCCAATCTTACATCTATATTCCAAAGCATTCTTGAATTACAACCATTTAAATTTGGATTGTGCATTTTCATATTTATTCAAAAAAGGAGGCGTGACACTTAAGAGGTTAACCATAAAATCATTTTTAATCCTCACTTCTCCATCTGACTGTGTTTTTTATTGCTTATATTAATGTACAGCAGTGGTTTTATTGCTTTATTAAACACTCCAGCAGTTGGAAAACCCATAATGAAAACTGCTATTAACAAGATGCAAACAGAAGTCTGACCTTATTGGTCAGGCTGGTGGTGGGCGGGGCCAGTGCTGGCCTATCCTGTAGAGCCTGGCTGATGAGCTGATCGCGTGATAGGCTGACGCTAACTAAGGCCCGGTAAAGGTGCTGAGAGCGAGGGAAGTTCAGCCCTGCAGAAAACCAGGATAACACACACACAAAAAAAATGTATTAATGCATTTAAGCTCCAGTGTGTGAGAACAATGAGCCGATTATGTTTTATAAATGCATTTAAGCTCCAGTGTGTGAGAACAATGAGCCGATTATGTTTTATAAATGCATTTAAGCTCCAGTGTGTGTGTGTGTGTGTGTGTTAACAATGAGCCGTTTGCGTGGAGAACATTTATTTTATTTTATTATATTTCAGCTAGTTGCCAAAGCAACATTTTTCATTTTCATTTAGTGTAACTTGATGTGATAAAATAACTAACTAAATAATAATAAATAAAAAACTATATAAAAATAACTTTAAAAAAATATTAAACCTAATCCACGCTATTTAGATTTTTTTTGCATTGTTTACATGAAAGTTGAGCACAAATAAACCCCTCAAAATAAACACAAATCTAATTTT